GATGTTTTAGCCATTCAACTAGTAATCCATGGCTGCGTTTGCTTGTGGTCAAAATTAGTGATTCTTTAGAATGATTAATCCCAGACTGGATTAATTTTCTGAAAGTTATGCTGTTTTTATGTAAAGACTCATCATGTCTGTACATAGAGTCATCACCTGCATCTGCCTCTGTCGCCATGCACTTTCAGAGATATGGTAATGTGCCAAACAGTTTGACCAAGATTAATTAATTCATTCTGAAGAAACGTCATTTTGGTCAAATTGATTAAAATACAGCAATAAAAACCTTTGCTATATGCTAAATATGTACTCTTATTGCACATGTAACCTGCTCTACATACTAAAAAATTGGTGTGATTTCATCGATAAACATTATGTAATATTGCATCAGAATTGATAAATAATAGGTAGCCTTTTTTATTTACTGCCTTTTATTGATGCATTTCACAGCTTTGCTGCTTTGTTTTACAGAAAAAAAAACACAGATGTGACATTGGTGGCAACCTGTGCATTTTTTTTCTTTCATCTCTTTTCACCCTCCATTTCATTTTCCAGGTTGCTTTATCAGTTGTAGCCTCAGATACCTTGTCCTTCACCCAGAGTTTTGCCCTAAGTGAGGAGGACTTCCATAATCCTGGTTACAAGTCTCAGTTGCTCAAGGACTTTGAAGAGAAATCGAATGATATATATTTCATCATAAGTAGAATTAATGAGTTTTATGAAAGTGAAGGCATTAGTGTTAATGAATAACCAATTCTGTGCACAATATAGAGGAGCTGTTAAGCTTGCAATTTTACTGTTGAAGAAAAAACCCAGGTTAACATGGCTTTATGTATGTACATACACAGAATTGTCTGTACATATAGCTGTTATCTGCATTTGTCATCACTGTCACTGTCATAGCTGTTCCCGCGCACTTTCAGAGATAACATGAAAAATGGAAAACCATTTTACCTATTGTCTTCAAACTTGCAAAACTGATAAATATTCATGATATACAGGTAGAGTTAAAAATCAGCTTTATTGAACCATTTATCTTGTCTAAATTTACATTTTCAAGGTATGGCTCTGAACTTCCGAATCTGAATCTATTTTAGTTGTATTGAAATATAGGTTAATAAATATGCAAAGTGCATTTTATGTAGAAAAATACAGTAGGTCCAATATCATATTCAGGGTCATATTTAGATGTCCATTATATTTTTCCTTTTCAAGTTCAATAGTAACTATGGGTGTACGTGTATCTCTGCCAGTATCGGAGATATACGCGTGGTGAAAAGTAGGTTAAAGGTCAAATCCAAGGTCATATTAAGATTGCCAATATATGAGTTCCTATTCAAGTTCATTAATAAGAACGGGCGTATCTCTTCTTGTTTTGGAGATACTAGGGCCATAAAATTTGCAAAGTACAGTTCATGGTCTAAAACAGGTCAAAGGTCGAGTTCAAGGTCACATTAAGATTGCCAGTATATAACTGCTATGCAAGTTCAATTACAACTATGGGTATGGTTTTGGAATATTTCACATTTGGAACAAATTTCATCATTCAGCATTACATTAAAGTTATGCAATTAATAAACCATATGTTAAACAAACAGCAAAAAAAAATGACACCATGTTCAGTGTTGCACTTATCAAGCTCTACAGATTGCAACAAACAAGCTGTCTCTAGCTTTTAGGGTTCCTGAATTACAGAGTCTTTTCAGTTTCGGCATCTAATGGCTGCTTCTCCTTTGAAAATCCAGCGATTGACCTCAAACTCAGGATGATGAAAGAAGACTCCAGTGTAATTTCTCCTGATAATATCAAAGCAAATCAGCATAAACAAATATTTTTCCACAGAAAATTAAATTTTTTACAAAATTTTGGCCCATTTGACCTCGAAATAAAAGCTGTAGGTAAAATCAAATGTCATACTCAAAATCTCCACTTATCACCTTTTGTCAGATTTGGTAATTTTTCCCATAATTCCTTCTATTTTGGAGATATTTAGCATTTAATTTTCAAAATATGCTGAAAGAGACAGAAAGAAAAAAGGTATCACATTTGGGAATATGGACCAATCAGGCTGATTTTTGAAGTCACTTAAATATTGATTACTCCTTTTGGCTTATCTATTTTCCTCGAAATATTGTATTGCATATGTGCTAGAAAAAGAAAATAAATGATATAACTTTTGGAAAATTGGCTTGATTAAGCCGATTTTCAATCTCTACCTGTGTTTTCTGAATATCCGTCAATATTGGAGGTTTGAAGAAAATAGGCCAAACGTTTTTCCAGTTATCGTATAATCACTGAAAGTGCATGGGGGATGAAGACCACAGATGCAGGTGATGGCTTTATGTATGGTTATGATGTGTCCATACAGAAAAAGAAAAAAACATGGATATTTCACATATGATCTTGGATTTAACCTGTGACCAATATTGGAAGATCAAACGGGATATATTTTGAAATTTCTGTGAAAATAATATCTAATAGTGCTGGCATTTTCCGTGTAAAGTGCAAACAATCCATGGGAAACTAATTTGGCCAGAAGCCAAGTTGTCTCATTGAGGTATTCCAGTGAAAGTTCCCCCTTTCTACAAATATGTTTTCCAATGCAGAGTGATTTTAGTTTTCCTTAAGTTTGTCTTAGCAAGTATTTTAAGCAGACAATATTTAAGTCTAACTAGACACTCTGGCAGTTGTAGCAGCAGTCTTCAGTCAACAACCCTCCTGGCAGCTGTACTAGGCCTTCAGTCATTGGTCTTTATTGATTTTTATATTTTATTTAATGTTTGATTAAATTTTTTACTTATTTCATTTATTTGTGTTTTTGTCTTCTTTGATTTCTGTTGCATCCTCAACAGCACCTAAACATTCCTCTCTCTTGAGAAATGTGGCTTTGTTGATTTATCTCCCACAATAAACAATCATTATAAACATGTACCGGTTAAAGATACTGCCACTGACAGTTCTAGAAACAAATTACTTTAATACAAAATTAAGTTTTGCAACCATCAGTGAGAACACTTTTTCTTTTAATTTCATTGTGTTATTAAGGATACTGTTAGCCTTTGCCAAAAACTCCTTATTCGCTGCCTTACATACATGTACATTCCTTTTGTTAACAGATAAATCTTCATTGTTCTGTGAATTAATTAATTAACGTTTACAAACATGTAATCTTACGGGTGATGTAATAATTGCAATTTTGAGGTAAAAATTGAAAAATTGGTTTCTCACGTCTCCTTTACCTGAGCACCCATGAGCACCATTTAACACCAATTTAATTGTGCCATTTAGTACTCCAAAACCTGCCAGCGATTTTTCTTTAAAGCCTTAGTTCAGATTTTATTGCTGAAAATAATAATGCCTTTAAGTTTGTTTAATGAAAATCTGTAGTTAAGGGCTCATAACTCCATAACAAAAATACTTAAATCAAAATGACAGCTTGGGATTGTAGCCCATTGACTTGTGGTCAACAATGGCAATTTTCGTGATAAAATATTGTTCAGGGATGAAGTTATGCCCCATACCCATTGGTTTCTCATCTCCAAATAGAAAGGAGTTAAATTGACAATACCAGCTTTGAGTGGCCTATGCTTATACATTATATCAAAAAATATATAAACACCGAGGTTTTTTATTTTCAAGGGGATTTTTATTGTTTTAAATCAGCACAAAGATAGTCATTAATGAATAATTAGATAGTCATTATTGAATAATTAGATGCAGGGCAAACCTCAATTTTGGTATGTGGATGATAAAAAAAACTTAAAAATGATCTTGTGAGCTATGTTTATGCTTGGACATAATAAGAGAAGGACATGAAACGCGGGGCTAGATCAAAGGATAATCGGCTTAACGTGAGCTCTCGGCTAAACCATGAGCGTTCGGATCACGTGACCTCCCGTACAGGTAGCGAGCATATCGCAGTTGTCGCTGACTTTGTATGTCATTTGGGCAGATAGTTTGCGATAACGAGAGTCAATCCTTCAGGTGGATGAGACAGTAGACTAATAGAGATTAAGTAGGAGTACAATTTGTTCTATCAATTTGGAAGCTATGTGAGAATTTGATATGTTTGTTCATGGAGGAATTCAAAATGCCCTAAAGGTAAAGGCAATCTTGTTTGTTGCTGTAAAATGAGCATTCAGAATTGTACAATTGTTGTGTAGTATACTTGTTTTTAGCTATGATCCGTGTCAATATGATAGTGTCAAAATTTTCTCTCTGTGAGAAATTAGCCTGAGATGCGGCAATAATGAAACCTTCAATCGTGTCTTGAATTAAAATGATGCAATTTCTCTCTGATTTCTTAGGCTCGCTGACATTTCTTTTAGGCTGTTTTTTTTTATGCACCCTTTAAATAAAGATGACATCAACATTGCTATATACTTTATGCATAGATTCCTGCTACTTGCTAAAATATGCAAGATTTTTGGGATGATAATTTAAATTTTTTACTCTCAGTATCGGCTCTCATTGCAGTATGGCACCACACGCATTTGTGGCACACAAAAACGCACTAGTAATGCCTTTTAATATTCCTTTATCAAAGTTGACATCAACTCTTTTGTGAACTATATATATATATATATTCATTTTACCGGCTAACGTCTTCTCCAATTCTGACATTTTAAGCAAGTTTTTTTTTTTTTTTTTTTTTTTTTGTGAAAATCAAAATATAATTGAGAAGGGAGCATGTGGTTTTTGTGTTATACATATAAATGTGAACATCTAGAATTTCAGCTTTTAATTAAGTATCAAATTTTGACTCAATAATCACATACTTTCATTTACTGTTATTTCAGCATGATGATTGTACAAAGACTTAAGAGGGATTGTATTCAAATGTTGAACTAACAGAACAGCCATCAAATAAGAGGGATTGTATTCAAATGTTGAACTAACAGAACAGCCATCAAATAAGAGGGATTGTATTCAAATGTTGAACTTACCAAACAACCATTAAATTTAGGATTTTATACTGTATTTTGTACATTTCATTTCAGCTTGCGGCCAAAGCGGCTCCTTACAGAGAGGAATTCCTCAAGCACTTGGCTGCCTCCCGTATGGACCAAGAGAATCCAGACTTTGAGACTTTGATCATACAGGACATGGATGAATGCAGTTCAGCACTGGAGGTACTTATCAGTATACTCAGTGATTTCTACATAAGTGAAGACTTGGACAGCCAAGAGCAGGTGTGAGGGCTTCTTCAGCACATGAGGTACACCAAAGGTACCATGGAACAGAGCTCTCACATAAGAGAATTCTCATTGAAGATGGATTACATTTTGTCCGACTCAACAGGACTGAATACAATATATAAATCATTAGGTAGCATCAGGACTCCACCCCGCCCCTGTCTCATTCAACTTGTGATAGCAGTGAAGTTTGCTAAGAAATGTCATCAATTATATGTGTATATGAAATGTGAAATATTACACAAGGAAGATTTTGAATATTTGGAAAGTATGGAGATAATTTTTTTTTATCACCCAGCTCCATCTCATCTAACACAGAGAAAATAATTGCAAAACCCTACATTTCATACTTAAAATGTACATTTGTAAGAAATATTACCTTTCAGATTGTTTATAAAAATAGTCTGTCTTCAATCCAGACCATTTCATTTCAGTTTTTCATATATGTTTCACATATTCAGGTTATTTATGTTTCAATGTTTCCCAAAGTCAAAAATGGATGTTATCAAAGATTTTGTAGAATTTTATCTAAGTTATGTTTCATAAGGTCTTGCTTTTATGGCCTTTAAACATAACCCTTTGAGAAAAATAAGATTGTTTAAACCTCTTTTACGTCCTTTGTGCGACCATGAAACTGGCATCACTGTAGTCGTAGAAAGGAGGCACAAGCATTGCTTTGGTTGCAGAATGAATGCTCAATGATCAGCCAGTTGTCAGCATTTAAAATATCATTTTATTTACTCTCAAATGGGACGCAAAAAGGACCCTGTCCAGTGTAAAGGGGGCTTTAATGATTTTTTTGTGATTTTTTGTCTCAATAACAGCAGTAATCCATTTACATGTCAGGTACATTTTATTCATAAAATACTTGATTATCATCATTGCAAAGTCAACTTTAGGTAATCTAGACCTAAGTTTGGCACTCTTTAGTTTAGCCCAAAGGCCAAAACCTGAAAAAAAAAAGATTTTTAAAACAGCCCATGGTTGTTGGACTGTCTTAAGTAATTCAACATGAGCACCAGTAGTTTGCGAAGCTTGGTTAATTATGCTGAGAGTGGTGCTGCAGAAGACTTCTAAAAATAGCATACTTGCATACATTCTGCCTGGGCTGCAGACTTAAAATGTGCGCTTTTCTCAATACCCTTGTCTCTTTTGACCATTTGGAAGCAATTGATTCTGCATACGTGCAAAGGACATTGTGTCCATGCTGCAGTAGCTCAGCATAGCAAGGATGTGCTATTGGAATAATAAGGTAGCTTATTGCATAACCTGTCTTTGCTTACCTGTGTAGTAAATTTGTCGGTTCAGCTGTTACCTCAATCAGTCAGTGAACATAATGTTTACAAATCTGAAATGCATTCCGCATGGAGACCCCAGCTTTTACATGTAGTTTGTTGAATGCTTAATCAGCTAGGTGTAATTATTTTCATATCACTTCTAAGTTCTAGACTTCTCACATGTTAATCCTGTACTGGAACAACAATCATAAACAACTTTGTATGTTGTCACATTTATAACATAGTGACATGACAAGAGACAAAAAATTAAACAGTCAAACTCATAATACCAGTGGGCATGTAGTTGTGGACTGGTCTGGTTATTTGAAAGAAAACAAAATTCACAAACTAAACTAGGCAGCAAAGCAGTCAAATGTACAGACAAAAAAGCAGAAAATACTAATGCACAAAATAGGATCCTGTCAATAATACATTATGCTTAACTGCAAAGACAACATCAAACTTTAATTATGCACAACAGGTAATATCTATGAAAGTAAAAGCATAGGGACTCAGGCCCATGAGAGTTCAAGTTCACACTCAAAAATTGCCAGAATGAGAAAAGTGAAAATTTTACAAAAAATTGCAAAAATTCAATAAAAAATCCAATAGAGCTGGTTTTGTAATTTGAGCTGTGTGTCAATCCTAAGAATCATTCTTGTAAGTTAAAAAAAATAATAAGTAACAGTTTTCTTTCCATAACGTTTGTGGTGGCTGTGCACGAAGTGGGTTTTTTGTCAACTTTGATGCAATATTACATTTAGAAAAGTTGATTACCACTGGGCTTCATGCCCGTGGAGTTCTAAGGACCACATTGAAAATGCCAATATGTGAAAGATAAAAATTTTGCAAAAATGAACAACGGACAAAAAACTCTTTTCCAACTCAGGCTGCATTTAAGTCTATGTTATCTCTCTGAAAGTTTGAGAAGAGTAAGTGACATTGTTTTTCTTTTCTCAATTTTGATGCAATATTACATGTTTAACAGCATAATTACCATCAATTTTAATAATAAAAGAAAAGTTTCACGGATGTTCAGAAAATGTTACTAGCAAAGCTCTTCAAGCCCAAGGAAGTTCAAAGCCACACCTTGAAAATGCCAAAATGTAAACAAGAGATAACTTTACTGAAATGAGATTATTTCCATTTTCAACACATTTTTACATAAAACAAAAAAAATCAATTTACTGTCATTTTTATATGATCAACTAAGAAAATTGTTGACATAGGAAAAATATCAATAGAAAATTTTTTGATGTCCAATTTGCTCCATTCTGAGATTATGAAAATAGTGAATGATTGAATCTAGAACAAACTTTATGAGTTTATTTCCATTTTTGACACTTTATTACACAATACATGAAAACAGGTTAACCATCATTTTTATATAATCAACTAACAATATTGTTAAGATGCGGAAAATGTAAAAAGAACACTTTCAAGTATATAATTAGTTTAAAAATGAGACTGCTAATGCCCAAGAATTAAATCTGAAGAAAAACCACTTATACACAAAAGGGTGTAACTTCATTAATACTTAACAGATCAACATCTGTGTCTGTGCATAAAAAGGGACTAGATAGTAGAATGTTCACTACCATAAATACTAAAATCTTGGAAAAGCCCTGTGACTTTTGGCCAGATGGAAGCAATTAAATCTGCATGCGTGTAGATGGCGTTATATTGTACCCGCTCTGTGGGAAGCTACTACAGGAGATTCCTCAGTTAACTTCAATCTTAAGTAACAAGCTATTCATAAGGGACTGCTGTCAAGGGGACTTGACTGGGGCATGTTAAGTGGCAGTGCCTGAGCAGTTATCCAAACAATTACCAGACATGCAATCAGCCTTGAGATTTCATCACAGGGTGCCAGAGAACCAAATGACTGTCTATTTGTCTACAGACATATAAATGTGAATATCTTGTGAAAAATCAATCTGTCGCCCCTGGTAGAGGGTAGCAGTACTCATGGTTTTAGTCTCGACTCGTCTCGACCAGTTCCATAGGCTTCGTGTTCTGTCAGTGGATATAGGTCATTGTTACTACATCTACTCCTAGACTACAAGGACATGTGTCCCCATCTCTTGGAATTGGGTCACATAGCTCAACTTGATCCCCCAGGAATTTGATCTCTGTTGGTGCCTAGGTGTGAAGCTTGTCACATGCACCCTTATCAAAATTTTTGTGAATTAAATGCTAAATATCTCCCAAACCGAAGGATTTTCACTTTTTTTTTTCAGCATATATGCAGCACTGATAACACATTTCGAGGAAAACCGATTGGCTAATAAAGTGTCAAAAATGGAAATAAACTCATATTGCAGTTTGCCAGATTCAATCAATCTCTATGTTGAGAATCTCAAAATGGAGCAAATTGGACATTTAAAATTGTTCTATTGATATTTTTCCTATGTCAACAATTTTCTTAGTTAATCATATAAAAATGACAGTAAATTGATTTTTTTTTTTTTTTTTGATGTAAAGAAAAGTGTTGAAAATAAACTTATTTAATCTCAGTTATCTCTTGTTCTAAATGTCCATGTTATTAATAGAAGACATTTAAAAATTGGTGATAATTATACATTTAATCATTATGTTACATTGCATCAAAATTGACAAAAAGCCTATTTCGTGCACTGTCACCACAAACGTTATGATAAAAAGAAAACTGTGTTACTTATTTTTTTTTTTTTTTTAGCTTACAAGAAAGATTCTTAGGATTGCCATACAGCTCAAATAAGAAGACCAGCTCTATTCAGAATGCCATCTTTGTCATGGCACTGGCTACTGATAGGTGCCTACCCCGGTATAATAGGTGTATGAGTGTGATCATATATGTGGAATTTCATGTCAGCTGGACATAAAAATCATCTAAAAACTCGTCACAATCTTTATAAAAAGGTAAATCATTGCACAGCGATCGTAGTTTGGTGCGTTTCTGTAGTCAGTTATGAACTACTTCCTGTTTTTTCACAAGGTCCTTCAAGAACTCTAAAACATCGCTATAATTACAGCACATACCATGAGACACCCAAAAATAAGTAGATATGAGAATATCAGGTTACATACTTGCAAAAATTCCACATGACAACGATTTATAGCCTCGTGGGAATGCTTTTCCCTTGACACTCTTTGTCGCCCTGTCGGTCGATGCAGCATATATATCATAACAAATTGACTGCAAATTAGGCACGATTTTGCACCTTCAAATATTGTAACACATTTACATATCATGTGCATATTATTTTTACAAGTATTTACTGCCCAAAATACCAAAAGAAAAAATGTTATATTACTATGTTGTTGGAAAAACTCCTTTTTTTTCTCAGCCCATGTCTTTACTCCCATTCACCTCCATCTAAAAATGACCACTCATAGTCTATCAGCTTCACGTCTTACACTACTGCATGTCACTTCCAGCACAATCCTGTCTCCTCCGATACCCTCTATTACGATCAGAGTAATTAACTGCCTTGGTTGCAGCTGAGATCTAATAAACGGTATATTAGATCTTAGGTTGCAGTCAGAGGGATTTGGCAGAGGCTTGTGAGCTAGCAGTTACGTGAACAAAAAATGAAGACGTGCATGAATTAGCCAGAGACATTTCTGTGAATATCTAGTGAAAAGTCAATCAGTGGCCCTGGCAGAAGGTAATAATTGCATGTGTGTATTTATTTTGTTCAGTACTTGAACTGTTGATTGTGTTTTATGAATTCACTGCTGAATATACCCGGTGTCACGTGTACGGTCCGTTCTGCGTGAACCATCCGTCCTGACCGATTGTACACGCAGCAGCAGCGTGTATGAGCCGTTCCGTGAATGATCCGTTGTTATTCACCTGTAGGGCCTACTGTTATATTCAAGTAGTTCATTTTCTACCTCATTATACATTAACTATGATGAGAATAAAATTCATGTGTTAATTGATAATTTTGATAGAGAATCAGCGTCAAATTACAGTTCGACGCATGGATGAACCTACCGTGGACGTGCCGTCATTATTCAGCTGCTGGCTACTATTTTAGTATTGATTTTACTAGGCTAGTGTGTTGATATGGCCACCTGAGAGAAATAGCAGTAGAGGTGAACATCTGTAAGATATGAATACTTCTAAAGATTATGTTTGAATTTGCAGTATGTTCTCAACAGCACATGTTTATTAAAGGCTAAGAATGTATTGACGACTCTATAGAGACGGACTGTACACGCCGGAAGTCCCTCAGATTTGCCTGCGTTTAGTGCGCATGAGCAGAACGGATGGTTCACGCTCCCGGCGGTACACGCCACACCGGTACAATGGCTTACATAGAAAAAG